CTCTTGATTGGAGAGATGAGTGTCGAAAAAATTTGGAGCCATGTTTCAAACTGCTACAAGGGACATGGGAATTTTATTCTCCTTAGTTGATAAAGTTAGTTTGCTTCAAAGGGAGAATAGTGTTAGTACTTTGAATCAGTACTGTTTATTCTTATTCAGATACTATTTTTCTTTAAACCATTAAGACTTAAAAAAAAATTTTTTTTTTTAAGATTTTATTTATTTGACAGAGAGAGAGACTCAGTGAGAGAGGGAACACAAGCAGGGGGAGTGGGAGAAGGAGAAGCAGGCTTCTCGCGGAGCAGGGAGCCCGATGTGGGGCTCGATCCCAGGACCCTGGGATCATAACCTGAGCCAAAGGCAGACACTTAACCGACTGAGCCACCCAGGTGCTGCAGAATCACAGAGATTTATCACTAAAAGAAACTTTAGAGCAACAAGTCCTCATTTTACAAATTTACAAAGAATGAAATTGATGTGCAGAAAGGTTAAATGATTTGCTCATAGACAGAAATAGTAGATATTAAAACAACCAGAGTTAGAAATAAGATCTCTTGTTTTCCATTTCCAGGATATCTCATTTTCTTATGGGAAACTTGTACAGAAAAACTAAGTATAATAAATGGCTTGCTCAGTTTAATAACGGGAATTGATAATAATAATCACAGGCCTCATAGTTTATCCTTTGGGCTCAGAATTAAAGTTGACTTTTAAGAAACCTGGAAATGTGAAAAGGCCAGTTAAGACAACAGGTGGGTGGACAGAAAGGCAAGTTCATGAGGCAAGTAAAATTACTAATTTCTCAAAAATAGGTACCAAATAGCAAAGTTAAAATTGCTACCTATTTACTAGTGATTACATGTTAATCATTTCTACATGTATACTTTTAAGTGTTGAAATACATTGCCTGATAACATAAGATTATTAATATTTTGGCAGTTTATGCCTTTGGCTATTGGGAATTGTGCTATTAAGAACATGGGCATACAAATACCTATTTGAGTCCCTGTTTTTAATTCTTTTGGGTATATAGTGAAATTGCTGAATCATGTGGTGATTCTGTGTTTAATTTTTTTAGGAAGTGCCATACTGCTTTCCATAGCGACTGCATGATTTTACATTCCCATCAGCAGTGCAGTGTGTTCTGGTTGTTTATATCCCACCAACACTTATTTTTTTGATAACCATCCAAATAGGTACGAGATCGTATCTCATTGTGGTTTTGATTTACATTTCCCTAATGATTAGTAATGTTGAGCATCTCTTTGTGTGCTATTGGCTACTTATAGATCTTTGGATAAATGTCATTCAGGTCCTTTTCCATCCTTTTCCCAGTTTTAATTAGGCTGTTTGGGTTTTTGGTTGTGTGACTTCCTCTTGAAATTTAAGGTGTATCCCTACTGGGGTGCCTGGCTAATTTAGTCAGTAGAGCAGTGTGAATCTTGATCTTGGGGTTGAGAGTTCTAGCCCCACGTGGAGCATAGAGATTACTTAAAAAAAAAAAAGGATTATTCCTATTTACTAATTTCTAGGAGCTCTTTTACCTATTTTGGATATTGATTCTTTATTGTTTTATATTGTAAATATTTTCTGCTTGTTTGTTACCTTTTGTCTTTTATAGTATCTTTGGTTTAAAAGTTTTTATATTTTCTGTCATTTTTTCCTTTATACTTTCTAGGTTTTACTTCTTGTTTAATGTTTTTATACTTTTATATTATTAAAAAGCACTTTATTTACTGCTACCAATTTACTGATGTAACATTCTTTAAAGGCTAATCAGCAAATAGATACTTGCTATATAATTTACATTTAATCTAAAATTAACTGTGGCTTATATTTTGTAGGTGTAATTAATTAGATGCTATGTTTGTAATTGATTCTAGATCTCTGTTGCTACCTTAACTATTTATGATCGGAGGAAAATTTTTCTCCACATCTGAGATTTGATTTTTTTAAAAAATAATTGCTGTTTCCGGACACCTGGGTGGTTCATTGGGTTGAGTGTCTGCCTTTGGCTTGGGTCATGATCCCAGGGTCCTGGGATTGAGCCCCGCATCGGGCTTCTTGCTCAGCAGAGAGCCTGCTTCTCCGTCTGCCTGCCCCTCTGCCCTGCTTGTGCTTTCTCTCTCTGACAAATAAATAAAAAATCTTAAAAAAAAAAATAATTGCTGTTTCTGTGATTAGGGAGCAGTTACTTAGGACATGACCTAATAAAACCTATACACACATATACACACGTATACATATGCACATACTATTTGTGCTTTCTTAGGCAAAATTTTCTGTAATAAATTATATGAATATATATTTTCAAATAATAAAAATTCTTTAAAAATTCTGTTTATGATTTCTTTGTAATCTAGCCTATCTTTAAGGTGTTTTTCTTACAAAAAGTTTTAATTGTGATTTTTAACTCTTTCTGGTAGGATTGTTTTACTTAACATCTTTTGTCACTTTTTTATTATGTTGTCTTTTATATACAACCTGATAAAAATATGTGATGATTTTTCATCTGTGTATTTGTTAATAAAAGTTATCTGTTTTCAGAAATTGATATGTAGCTTCATTCTTATGATTAGTTGGAGATAAATTAAAAAAATTTTTTTAAAAAGGTTTCTTTTTTTTTTAAAGATTTTATTTATTTGAGAGAGAGAGAATGAGAGATAGAGAGCACGAGAGGGAAGAGGGTCAGAGGGAGAAGCAGACTCCCTGCCGAGCAGGGAGCCCGATGTGGGACTCGATCCCGGGACTCCAGGATTATGACCTGAGCCGAAGGCAGTCGCCCAACCAACTGAGCCACCCAGGCGCCCTAAATTTAAAATTTTTAAAATACATCTTTATATATGCTTTAAAAATTTGCTTTAAGGGGGCGCCTGGGTGGCTCAGTTGGTTGGGCGACTGCCTTCGGCTCAGGTCATGATCCTGGAGTCCCCGGATTGAGTCCCGCATCGGGCTCCCTGCTCGGCAGGGAGTCTGCTTCTCCCTCTGACCCTCTTCCCTCTCATACTCTCTGTCTCTCATTCTCTCTCTCTCAAATAAATAAATAAAATCTTAAAAAAAAAATTTGCTTTAGGTTATGACTAATATACAATAAGATTTTATTACACAATTTAAGAGAAAATTGTTTAAAATCAAATTCAGTGTGTAATCTGAAGTTGCAAAGTTCATGGATTATAGAGTTTTAATCTATGTAGAATAATTTGCAGTTTTGCTCTAGTACTTCTCTTCATTAGAGGAACTCTGCAGCTTTATTTTCTTGAAATGTAGCTACATTTTCTAATATTTCCAATATTTCAAGTTCTCCTGAGTTCCCTTATCATTGCCTAATTTTTTTCTTACAATATATGGATTTGGTTAAGAGTATTCAGAATGTTTTTATTGTCATGTTATTGGTCTTAATGATTTCCAGAGTAAATAGATTTTTTAAAAGTGCCGATTATACTCCTTTAATGTCACAACCAACACATACATTTTAACTGTATAAATAATTTAAAATAATTTCCATGTAGATGTATTTTGTGTATGTTTCTGAGCAGGGTATTTAATAAGGAATTATATTAATTCTGGGAAATAACTGACATATTTTTTTGGGGCACCTGGGTGGCTCAGTTGGTTAAGTGTCTGCCTTTGGCTTAGGTCATGATCCCAGGGTCCTGGGATCGAGTCCCACATCAGGTTCCTTGCTCAGCGGGGAGTCTGCTTCTCCCTCGCCCTCTGCCCCTCTCCCTGCTTGTTCTCTGTCTCTCAAATAAGTAAAATCTTGAAAAAGGATACATATTCATAAAGCAAAAAAGCCTTTTAAATTATCAGTTATCTTTAAACTATGCTATTAGTAGATTTTCTATAAAGCTGTGTACATCATAGCTGTTGAAAGTTGAACTATTACATGAAGTTTTGCATCAGGTATTAGTGTTTATGTTGTGTCAAAATTATCATGGTGGTTTTACTTCATTTAAAGAAAAAAGAACTTGGGGCATCTGGTTGGCTCAGTTGGTTAAGCATCTGCCTTTGGCTCAGGTCCTGATCCTAGGGTCCTGGGATTGCTCTCCCTCTGCCCTTTCCCCCAGCTCGTGCTCACTCTCTCTTTCTCTCATATAAATAAATAAAATCTTTAAAAGAAATAAAGAAGAAAGAACTTAATACTGTGTATTCTGTTGGTTTTGAAATTTGAGTCATGATTGTATAAGCTAACTTTAAAAAGAGAAATCTACATAGGATGTCTTAATATTTTGGAAAATGTAAAATGTTAAATTTAACAACCAGTGACAGTACAACATTTGTTAGTATACAGTGTGTATCTGAAGTAAACAAACAAACAAACAAAAAAACCTGTTAGCTTTGAGTAATTTTTTTGGGATGAGGGTCCGGTGATGCTAATATAAAGGAGCTAGATTTGGTGCCCATTTTATTTCTGACTTAATATTTCTATTTTAACTATTTTGCCTTTTTCAATTCTGTGAATGAGATACAGGACTAAACTAATAACATTAGTTAAAATGATCATAGAAATCATTTCTATTTCAACTGCTTTTGTTTTGAAATTAGAGTGAAGAAACAACATTATATAATTAAATTCTATTAATATTTACTTTTGGCCATGAAGCATATGATTGAGATTTTTTTCTTTCTGATGGTGGTCATTTAGGAATCAGCATTCTGGAAGGATTGATATAGCTTTGCATTTTTCATCCTAGTAGTGACAAACTAGCTACTGTACACTCATGGAGTATGGTACTTGTCACTGACGGCCTTTCTGTGACAGAGAGCCTATAGACTGACATAAAGTGCAGCCTGTTGTGAACTCCTAAGTGAGTCTGCCAAAAACTCAGCAGACAGAACTAATTGGGGAGAAAAAGGATTTTTGTGCCCTCTTCTCTTTCTTTCTATTCTTTTTTGTTTTATAAGACAGATATGTTAAAGTAGCTCATTTATTTAAGATTTGTCTGCCTCTCTTTTCTCATTGCATGGATCATTTTTTAACTTAAAGTCTTGCACTGCAGGTCGTTAAGCACTTCCACATGGAGGCTGGCACAGGACCAAGCTCAGGACACGCAACTCGTAACAGTTGATGAAAGATTGGTAAGAATTTTCTATTATATACTGCTATGATTCTGCCTTCAGGGTTCTTTTTGTACAATAGCTTTTCAGAGTGGTATTTTGGCTTCTTCTAGGAGAGTGATTTGAATTTGAATTTCTAGATTGTATATAAATTTTAAGAGAAAATATTCATCACAAAAAGATAATTTGTGTTAAGCATTATACACAAATATTAAGTCATAAGCAGATATTAAGAGATTAAAATTACAAAAGGCTTCATTTTTGTGGTGTTTATAAGTCAGAACATTTTAAATTAATGAAAATGAATTGAACATTAATATGAATATAAATATAAATGAATATGTATAGTTTTTTATTTTCTCACTACACTCCTGTTTAATTAAGTTGTAAGACACTAAACTTAAGTACATTGGGTTTTTATGGAACCAATTATTGTTGTTACCGTATGTGTATATGTGTGTGTACACACACATTTCTCCATTATGCATGAGAGATTACAACTAGCAACAAAGAAATAATATTGTTAATCAGTAGCAGATAGAATTATGGTAACCATCACTTAAAAAATTTTTCTACATGTGATGTTACTTTAGATGCAGTTTATTATTTATGCTTATATTGTAAAATAGCATATAAATTTTGTAATGTCCTAAGACTTGTAAAATGTGTAATAGTACAAGCATGCTTTTTCATTTTTTTGTCTGGTTTACCATTATCATATGTATGGGTGTGTTTCTTAACTACTCTTCTTCCAGTTGTACATTCTTTTATCATTCAGTTTTGACTCTGTAAGCATAATTTAAAGAATAGATCACACTTAAAGATCTAAACACTGTTTATACCACTAAAGATATAAACAGATATATAAATAAGTAAACAGACAGACAATGGATAGGTTGGAAAACTCCGATCTTATGCTTAAAGCTGGTTAGTTTTATCTTTAAACTGTCTCTTAGATCTGCTTGCTGACATTGCCATCATCCTAATCTAGGTTACCATCATCTTTCACCTAGATTGCTGCAGTAGTTTTTGAATTGATCTCTATAGATATTTTAATTGTCCTTTAATTCATTTTCCAAAGGATAAAGAGAATAGTCATTAAATGCTGGTTTTGTCACTTCTTGTGTAAGATTTGTTGGTTTTCTTACTGACCTAAAAGTAAACATTAAAATCCTTACATGGTTTTTGAGGTCTTGGATGATTAAAGTCCTGCCTTCCTCTCTAGGTTTATCTTGTACCACTGTGTTTTATACACTGTGCTCCAGCCACACCAAGCCTGGAACTTGCTGTTCCTTTCCCTGCTTCAGGGCATTCACATTGCAGTTCACTCAGCCTAGGTGGTTTTCATCAATCCCCTAGCTCTTATCCAGGGACCTTCTACTTACTCTTCAAATGTTGATCAACACCACTTGCTTAGTCAAGTATAAAAGTGAGACAAGTATGTGTGTAAGAGGAGGATGCCTTACACATGCCATGCATTCATTAGTTAATGTACTATTTTAATTTTTCCAGTGACCCATGTTTTACACCCCAAGAGATTGCCTTCTTGTTCTAATATTGTGGGGTTTATTCTTTACAAGATTTTCAAGTTTTACAGAGTTTATTAGTAATGCTTCTAAGTTCTTTCTAGTTTGAAGAATAAGTGAGGTAGCAATCTATTTCTCTAAACAAGGTGCCGTGAATCATATCAGAGAGGTATACAGACTGCTTTGAGTTTTATTTTTTATCTCATTAAATCAGTTGCATACTTTCAATGAATTTTGTTGCCCTGTATAGATTTTTCCCAGCTTTGTTATGTCTTTCTTGAAGTGTTTTAGTCAAAATGTCTATTCCAGCTGAAATCAATTCAAGTCTTACTTACAAATTATTCATAGTTACTGAAGAAATATTTAAACAGGTACTGAAACCCATAGGTAATTTTCAAACATGAGTTTTAGCCATTCATTTAGGTTTATATTAAAATGCAAATATTAGATAATCAAATAGGTAACATAATGTTGATATGGGTTTCAGGTCTTCTTATTCCCACACACTACCTACTGGATGAAAGGTTCAGTTGATAACATATTGACAAGACAAGTGGCTGAAGGGTACTTACAGATATATTGAGCAATTGAAGTTGATTATATTTGCATTTTGAACAAGAATCATTCTAAAAATATATAGTAACCTCCCCCTCCCCCTGCCCCTTATCCGCAGGGGATTTGTTCCAAGACCCCCAGTGGATGCCTGAAGCCACGGATAGTACCAAACCCTATATATGCTATGTTTCATCTGTACATACATACCTATGATAAAGTTTAATTTACAAATTAGGCACAATAAGAGATTAACAACAATAGTAAGATAGAATAATTATAACAATATACTCTAATAAAAGTTATGTGAATGTGGTCTCTTTTAAAATATCTTATTGGCCTGTACCCACCCTTCTTGTGATGCTGTGAGGTGAGAAAATGCCTGCGTGATGGGATGAAGTCAGGGGAATTACGTAGGCGCTGTGACGTAGCGTTAGATATATATCAGATAGATATGTTAGAAGGAGAATCATTAGCTTCCAGACTGTGGTTGACTATGGGTAACTGAAACTGCAGAAAGTGAAACCGTGGATGGAGTGGTGCAGGAGTGGGGGATCTACTATATATCAACATTAATGATAAAAATATTTCAAAATGTGAAGTAAATATAAGTATTGTAGAAGGAGATGTGGAAGCAGCATTTTAACATCATTATTATGTAATGTAAACCAACTTATTAGCTAAGAATACCATTTTAAGTAACTACTCAACACTAGATTACTATTATATTTGTACCTGAAATTGGATAAAAGCTAGTATCTTAATTGTAAGGTAAGGGATTTGGCCATTATCATGATTTGTATTGGATATTCTTACATAATGCATTAAAATTAATATAGGTGTTGCCTCTTACAGCCCAGGGCTTAAGCACGTGGACTAAACTTAGTTGGGGATAAAGTTTTGTTATTATTGGAAAATGGGTCCTAGGAATGTAAAACCAGAGGATAACTTTAGATGTTTCATAGTTATATTTACTGAATCCAGTTATTTTTCATTTAAAAGATTGTTCAACTTTTTATTCAAGAGAAATTTTTATGGGGAAATCCAGTAAGTGATTAACTAGATAAAAGATGAACTGCTGGAGGGTGAGGGTTAGGAACATGAAGGAAGACTTGTAAGCCTTCTCCAAGACAGTCTTCTTGGGGGACTTTATAGAGTGAGAGTTAGAAAGATAATTTAATCTTCTGTCCTTTTTATTAGACTGAACAACTTGTTCTCAAACTTACGTTTAAAAAATTTCCAGTTAACTGGTTCTCATTTCTTTTGAGGCTACTTTTTATATTACTAATCAGGGGGCGGCGCCTGGGTGGCTCAGTCGTTGAGTGTCTGCCTTTGGCTCAGGTCATGATCCTGGAGTCCTGGGATTGAGCCCCGCATCGGGCTCCTTGCTCCGTGGGAGGCCTGCTTCTCCCTCTCCCACTCCCCCTGCTTGTGTTCCCTCTCTCTCTGTCAAAAAAAAATAAATAAAATCTTTAAAAAAAAAAGTCAAATGACAGACAAGAAAAAATATTAAAAAAAAAAATATTACTAATCAGCTCTAATTATTAGAAAGCTATTTCTGACTGAGAAAAAGTCTTTTCAACAAATGAAGATGGAACAATTGTATTTCCAAATGTAAAACAAAACAAAAACCTTCATCCATACTTTGTACCATATGCAAAAAATTAACTCAAAGTTCTAAATGTAAACTCATAGTTCTAAATGTAAAACTAAAAACTATAAAACTTCTAGAAGAGAATGTAGGACAAATTTGTAATTTTGGGTTAGACATGTATTTTATTTTATTATTATTTATTTATTTGAGAGTGAGCGAGTGAGAGAGAGCACAAGCTGGGGGAGGGCAGAGGGAGAGGGAGAAGCAGACTCCCGCTGAGCAGGGAGCCCAACATGTAGCTTGATCCTGGAACCCTGGATCATGACCCGAGTCAAAGGCAGACACTTAACCGACTAAGCCACCCAGGTGCCCCTTAGACATATTTTATAGATACAAACCAAAGTGTTATCCATTTTTTAAAAAACTATAAAGTTGGGGGGTGCTTGGGTGTCTCAGTTGGTTAAGTGTCTGACTCGATCTCCATTTAGGTCTTGATGTTAGGGTCATGAGTTCGAACCCCACATTGGGCTCCACGCTGGTTGTGGAACCTACTTTAAAAAAAAATTATAAAGTTGGGTTTCCTTATAGTCAAGAGTTTCTGCTCTTTGAAAGACTGTTAGAATGAAAAGACGGCACAGATTAGGAGAAAATATTTGCAAAACTCTTATCTGATAAAGGAGTTGTATCCAGAAAATCAACACTTACAACTAAATAATAAGATATTAACTCAAATAAAAATGAGCACTTTACCCAGAAAATACTCATATGGCAAATGAACATATGAAAAGATACTCAACATCATTAGTGATTATGGAAATGAATATTAAAACTACACTGAGATACCACTGCACATTTATCTGAATGGCTTGAAAAAAATTGACCATACCAAGTGCTAGCAAGGATGCAGATCTACTGGAACTGTCATAGAGTGCTGGTGGGAATGCAAAATGACAGCCATTTTGGAATATAGTGTGGTAGTATATTACAGAGTTAAATATACACTTACCATATAACCTAGCAGTCTCACTTCTCAATATTTACTCAAGTGAAATGAAATCTTATGTTCACACTGAATCCTGCATGCAAGTGTTTTTAATAGCTTTATTCATAATTCCAATAACTGAAAACACCCCAACTATACTTCAGTACCTCTATATAGTAAACTTTTACTCACCAGTTAATAACAAATCTGGATGAATCTCCAGTGCATATATTAAGTAAAGGACACCAGACTCACAGGCTACCTACTGTGTGATTCCATTTATTTGACATTCTAGAATAGGCAAAACTCTAGGGACAGAAAATTGATCACTGTCAAGGTTGGATGTAGGAAGCAGAATATATTAAAA